TAATTGCAAGTCTATCTACCTCAAAACTCAGCCATACCATGGTAGGAGTTTGAACATAGTTGACATCTATAATCATGTAGTGAGTGGCAGGAGTGGAAGTTGTGGCCATTTTGGTGTGGACGTGGCCTTGTTAATAGGAAGTATGTCAGATACTTCCTGTTGCCTCTGAGTCAACATCAAAGTACTCAAGGCTTCAGCATCACATCTGGGTGCCTGTTTACATGCTCCTAGACGTGCTGATAATTGACTCAACCCCTGAAATTTTAAATGATCCACCTCAATGAAATGTTTTCATTATAGGAGTTTGAATGGTCAGGGTGTCCCTGCATGGAAATTAAAACCTAATTAAAACAGACTTTGTTCCCAGGGAGTATTGTTGAGCTAGGCCTGACCATACTTTTGTTTGGAATTAATATGGACTTTGGGGCTTTGGCTTAGGAATAACATAGAATGCATTAAACACCCCATTCTGGGTCATACTAGGAGGAGCGTGGGTGACAGTGACCTCAATAATTATGTAAAATATCGGGAGCCAGTTCAAGAGATTTCAGAGTAGGATTTTAGTATATTGGTGAGAAATAAATCTTTTAATATTGTGGTGATGGAAGTGCGTGAATTTTGCTTTGTTTTAAAGAACCTCCCTGAGGCTAAAGTGAGGAGTTTTTGATTAATTGCATTGGAAGAAGAAATCTCAAAACAGCCTAGGATAGACTTTGTCATTTAAATATTAGTGGTAACTCTATGAAGATATATAATGTAAGGAGCAGCTGAGCAAGAAAAAATATTTGGGGAAAAGACCCCCCCCCCCAGTAGAATATTGCTAAATTCCCTGTTCAAGGACATAAACAAATTAAGAAATGGAATAAAGGGAGTGGGGACCTGAGGGGGTCAGCCTGGTCTACAAAGCATTGTTCAGGACCGCCGAACTTAGGCAGTGAAAGAAAGAAAGCTAGTGAAGATGTAATTAAATAAGGGACCATGTTCGAGTCCCAGTAAGCAGCAGAACCTGACAGCTTTGGTCTTGTGGTTCTGACTTAAGTCTTAAGGATTGAAGAAATGTGTTTAGATCCTCTGGTTCTGGTTATCTGGGGCTGAAGTATCAGCTGTGATGAGCAAGTTATCAGAAGTATTTAAGCAAAATTTTGCTTGACTCTGGTTGGCTAGCTAAGAAATCAGTGGTAATTAAGGGACCAGCATCACCGATGTGAAAATGTCTGGGAAGTATTTCCTAAGAGCACAGAGAAATGGTCTTTCAGAGGTAGCCAAGATTGTACCTCATGCTGGTAGATGGACTTGGTAATGTGTGTCACCCAAGTGGTACAGGTTTTGAAGGTATGGATGGATGTGAGGCATGGCACTGTGAGAGGCCAGAAAAACCATAAATGAAGGTGCAGTCTCATTGGCAGTTGAATGCCTGCCCAGGACCATAAGGGTCATGCTGGTGTGGGAGAATTGTTTGTATTCTGTCAATCATGTTTTAAATAAATGCTGATTGGCCAGGCAGGAAGTATAGGCAGATCAACCAGACAGGAAGTAGAGGCAAAGTGATGAAAACAGGAAAATTCCAGGAAGGAGGAAGCCCATTCCTCCGAGTTCTGCCCAGAGCACCGAAGAAGCAGGATGTGACCTGCCCAGCTGAAAAATGGTACCAAGCCACGTGGCTAACATATACTAGAATAATGGGTTATATAAGTTACAAGAGCTAATATGAAGCCTGAGCTAATGGGCCAGTTTATAATCTTATGCAGACTCTCTGTGTGATTTTGTCTGGGACTAAACAACTGGGGAACTGGGCAGGACAGCAATCCCGGCCCTAATGTTACATCATGCCAAAAAGTTTAGATGTGGCACCCCGAGGTGACCCTATGAGAGACTACTGTTTAAAGTGCAGCCCAGTTACAACAGAAACCCCCATTGTTTTGGAGATGCCATCACTGTGAGATGATGAGCAAGAGCGGCCGTGGTAGTGGAATTGAGTCAACCAGAGTCTAGAAGACCAGCTGTGTGGACTCCAGAGGGCAGAGTCAGTGTTTTGACACAAGACCTGTGGAGGAGCCTGAAAGACCATAAGTGGATCTTAGATATTGGAGGGATAGAATTTTTTAATTATGCAAGATATTAGAGATGCCAGGGTCATTGGCTACTTGCTGAGGTGAGCTGCTAATGGGGAGTGGAACCAGCCCAAGAAAAGAAGTGTGGCAACAAAGCTAAACAGAATTGGAGACCTAGAGAGCCATTGTACCTAGAGTTAGGTATCATTACATTGAATTTTTTTCTTTTTTGTTACTTGTAATTGAATCTACCCTAGTGCCCTGAGCCATCCATCTTCTGATTTCTGCCCATCTAGGTATTCATCCTGGCAACCTTGGGTTTCAACTAGGCCAGTCATTGGTTTGCTACTACACCAAACTTGAGCCACCATTTTCCTGGTATATCTTCCAAACACAACAAGTGTATATCATATATTTACTGGTTGCCTAGGTTTCTTAGTCGAACCACTGGGAGCTGTATGTGATTACCGAAGATGGCCAGTTCATGCTCCATATCTGAGTTACTGGGAGTCCTCACTAGAGTCACCTGTTAGCTTGTAGAAGGTTGCTGCTGCACTCTTTCCACATCACCCCTGATCCTTCCTTTTCTTGCCCTGAGTATACCCACAAAATCTACTCTATTTGTTCTTTCCCTTGAGCATCCAAGCACCCCCTGCTACAGCCATCCTTGTTACTCGCTCTCTCTTGGTCTGTGGATTTTTCTGTGGTTATTCTTTCTTCAAAGGCAATATCCAATAAGTATATATCATCTTAGTCTACATAGTTTGAGTTTACTTGCTCAGAAAAGAAAAAAAAAAACTCAAGAAGCTACACATCAGCAAATTAATTAACCAAAAGAAAATGTGGTACAGATATAAACAAAGAATTCTAAATAGATGAATCTAAACTGGCTTAGAAACCCTTAAGTAAATGTTCAACATCCTCAGCCATCAATAAAATGTAAATCAAAACAGGTTCAGAGTTCATCCTACACCTGACAGAATAGATAGGTTCAGTAACAGAAATCACGACTCATTGTTGCGAGGCTGTGGAGCAAAGAGAAGGCTTCACCATTGCTACTGGGAATGAAAATCTGTACAGCCCCTATGGAACTCAACGTGGCAGCTCCTTAGATAACTGGGAGTCTATCTACTTCAAGACTCAGCCTTACCACTGTGGCAGTTTGAATATGATTGGCCCCCATAGTCTCCTATGGAGTGGCAGTAGTAGGAGGTGTGACTGTTTTGGACTGGGTATAACCAAGTCATGTCATTATCATGAGTGTTATGAGAGACTCACATTGAAACAGGTCAGGGAGTGTTCCGGCCTATGACAATCATGAATTTAGACTAAATACTTTTTCATCATGAGATGACTGAGCATTTAGATATATGGATCAGAATGTAGTTGAATGAAGAAAAAGCTCTCAATAAGATGAAGTATTTGAACACTTCTTTTTTCTTGGTGTCCTTCTTTGTTGTATATGTGTAATATTTATTAGGAGCCTTTTGGATGAAATTTCACATTGAAGATTGGATTAACATGTTCATAGCCTCAACCCATTTCTGGTTATTTGTGTCCTGCTGTCAGGACTTCACCACCATTATCGATGGTGTCACTAAATGACAAAACATGCAGTTGAAGCAATTGTTATTCACTGTTAATCCTTTTTGCTCTCCTGATTTTTATTTTAATTTTTTGTTTTTTGCTTTGTTTTTGAAAGAATGTTTTTCTGTGTACCTCTGACTGTCCTGAAAGTAGTTCCCTAGACCATGCTGACCTCAACTCAGAGATATATATGATTCTGGCTTCTATACAGAGGGATGAATGATGGGCCAACATGTTTGTCTTTATGTATTTTTTATTGACTGGTGTTCTTGGAATGTAGATTTTTGTACATTCCAAGCATTTGCTGCTATGCTGAACTTCACTACATCTTAATTTGAAGTGTGGTAGAGGGTATCATTCTCTTTCCCTGGATAGCAGTATTCACAGCATTAATACCTGTGTCTTCTGAATCACTGAATTGAAGGTGTGTTATATTCTACCTGCCTTTTTTTTTATTCAATTCAAAGAATATGAGTTTTTTTCTATATGCATGGGTATTTACCACATGTGTGTCTGTTCCACATATTGGTCAGAAGAGGCCTTAGAACCCACAAAATTGAAGTAATGGATAATTATAAGTCCCCATGTAAGTATTGGCAATTGAGTCTACCCAACTATATGCAAGACCGTTTAAGTGCAGGGACAGCTCTCCTTCCCCATGTTATTATGATCAACATTTACAGTGCTGATGTTTTCTTTGTTTCCTTTGTAACTGTTTAAACAGGCTCTCCTTTTATTAAAATCTTACTATGTTACAGTTTAAACTGGACCACAGCAGGTTCTGGAAGATGAATGTAGATGTAGAGTGAATGCAAAACATTTTGTAGGAACTTCAATAAATCCTCTGATTTCTTTTTACATATTTTGTTTAAATGACTATTTTTGGGAGGAGACCAAGTTTTCCTAATTTGTAACTCTGAATAAAGTGTATCTCACTGCATAGGCTTTGGCTGGCACTCAATTTAATTCATCTGCTTTTCATCAAGTGCTGGTATTAAAGGCATGAGTCAATATACCCACATTTCCCATCTTTCTTATTTATTTATTTATTTATTTATTTATTTATTATGTATATAATATTCTGTCTGTGTGTATGTCTGCAGGCCAGAAGAGGGCACCAGACCTCATTACAGATGGTTGTGAGCCACCATGTAGTTGCTGGGAATTGAACTCAGGACCTTTGCAAGAGCAGGCAATGCTCTTAACCACTGAGCCATCTCTCCAGCCCCCTCCCATCTTTTTTCTAGTTAATAATTGTCCTTACTATTTCTCTGATGTGTTCTCGTTAGTGTTGTTCTGCTGGTTGTCTCTGTCTGTAGGCCTGTACATGGCCATTTCTTTCTCAAGGATGTATGCTATGTAATGGACAAAGGAATGGCATCTGAGCCTCCACATCAGTTTCTTTCTAAAGTAACTTGGTGATTACACTATAATGTCTATTTCATGAAAGAAGTGTAGGAAGTCCCAGAATTAGATAAATATATTACTGTATAAGAAGTATCCATTTACATTGTCGGGATCACACTTTGTTTTACTGTTGGTTGGATTATTCTAGAAGTCAGTGACCTATGAAGATGTGCGCATTGACTTCACTCAGGATGAGTGGGCTTTGCTCAATCCTTCTCAGAAGAGTCTCTACAAAGATGTGATGCTGGAGACACGCACAAACCTCACAGCCATAGGTGAGACTGTGAACTTCCCTTCACATTTTAAAATAAAGCGACAACTGTCTTGTTTATTGATTCTCTTGAGTAGTTTTCTATGAGAAAGAATAAGAATGAGCTGAATAACTAAGCCATGGTTAAGATATTAAATTTTGCACAATTTCCAATAATATACATTTTCCTGTTACTATATTTTAGGCTACAGTTGGGAAGACCATAATTCTGAAGAACATTGTCAAAGTGCTAGAAGACACAGAAGGTAATTTTCATGTGCAACTTGATACAAATTTTCCTTGAAGAAATTGTAATGTGTCCTGGCAGATTTGAAACAGAGCAACAGTGAAAATAAGAACAGCTAGAGATATATTGATCATTATCAGTTTCTCACAGAATCATATACCTCCATGTCCGGTAGCTGTTCTGTGTTTCTAAAGCATTCCTCTAAAAAAAGAAGACAGGAAAACAATGCCTTAACTGATGCCACCACTTAAATCATAGCCCCAAGAGATTTTGCTATAGAACTGCCAATTCATTTAATTTCATACCACTCAAGGCATATACATTGAATAGATGATAAGTATCTGACCAAATCTGTCTAAATAACAGTCTTTATTGAAGCAAGTATTTACTCATATACTTGTGACTTTGCTAACTTTATTGAAAGTGTGAGTTTATGAGTCAAAAGGGCTCTTGTGAAGAAATCTTAATCCATATACCACATGCAAGAGAAACATTAAGTCAAACTGTGTGAATTGAATGGGAAAAACATTTATTTGTTCTTCCTTTAATAAGTATATCATATGTCACTCTGAACACAAGCAAATGAGCATATGGATATGGAAGGAATGATTGGAACTCTCTCAGAATAACGAGAAGGTATCAAAGAAATTTAGTATTTCAACATTGAGTATTCTTGTTGAATGTGATACAAGGTTATATTTAATTGGTTTTCCAACTTTATTGGGAAAAATTCAACAAACTCTCATTGAAGAAAAGCCCTATGAGTGTTGGACTGTGTACTTACTTTTGTTTGCCCCAGTACACTTTCTCATTCAGTATGTATTATAGTATAGGAAAACTTAAGAATTCAGTAAGTATGGTAAAGTTTATTCAAAACTGAGTTCATCCAGTTCCTTTCAAATATGTAAAAATCTCATAAAAAATGATGTTATAAATGTGGGCCATGAAATAAAGACTCTTACTATCACAGGTTCTTCAAAGACACAAGACACCCCATAATGAAGGAGAATACCGTAAACATGAAACTTAAAATCTGCTTCCTCTTTATAATTAGACAAAATTACAAAATTAATTCATACAGATATTAAGATTCATCAGAGCAATGCATGTGGTAAAACTTTTACATGTGCCAATTGTCTTTGCAGGCATGAAAGAAGCCATAATGGAGAGAAACGCTCTGAATATACTCAATGTGGTAAATCCTTTGCATGTTACAGTCATCTTCAAAGGCACAAAAATAACCATTCTGCAGAGAAACCGTGTGATGTTATTCAATATGATGAAGCCTTTGCAGGTACCAGTTGTCTCCAAAAACATGCTGGAGAGAAACAGTATGAATGTAACCAATTCAGTAAAGCTCTTGCCAGTCATGGTAAGCTCCAAAAACATAAAAGAAAATATAGTGTAGAGAAGCCCTTTGAATGTAATCAGTGTGATAAAGCTTTTTCACAACCCTCTAAACTCCAAAGACATAAAAGAACACATAGTGGAGAGAAACACCATGAATGTACTCAATGTAGTAAAGTCTTTGCGAATCAATATGATCTTCATGTACATAAAAGAACACATACTGGAGAGAAACCCTACTCATGTAATCAATGTGGTAAAGCCTTTTCACAGAAAAGTCATCTCCGAGTACATGAAAGAACACATACTGGAGAGAAACCCTATGAATGTACTGAATGTGGAAAATTCTTTGCAGATCACAATAATCTTCAAGTTCATAAAAGAACACATACTGGAGAGAAGCCCTTTGCGTGTAATCAATGTCATAAAACATTTTCACAGAAGAGTAATCTTCGTGTACATCAAAAAACACATACTGGAGAGAAACCCTATAAATGTACTAAATGTAGAGAATTCTTTGAATATCATAATGATCTTCAAGTACATGAAAGAACACATTCTGGCGAGAAGCTTTTTGCATGTAATCAATGTGATAAAGTCTTTTCAAACAATAGTAATCTCCGCTTCCATCAAAGAACACATACTGGAGTGAAGCCCTTTGAATGCAATCAATGTGGTAAAGCTTTTTCACGACGCTCTAAACTCCAAATACATGAAAGAATACATACTGGAGAGAAACCCTATGAATGTACTGAATGTGGTAAATTATTTGCATATCTCGATAATCTTCAAGTACATAAAAGAACACATACTGGAGAGAAGCCCTTTGCGTGTAATCAATGTGATAAAGCCTTTTCACAGAAGAGTAATCTCCATGTACATGAAAGAACACATACAGGAGAGAAGCCCTATGAATGTAATCAGTGTGGTAAAGCCTTTTCATATGTTAGTGTTCTTCAATATCACCAAAGAACACATACTGGAGAGAAACCTTATAAATGTAATCAATGTAGTAAAGCCTTTGTATCTTGTAGAAGTCTCCACATCCATCAAAGAACACATGCTAAATAGAAACCCTGCAATTATAGTCAATGTGGTAGAGACTTTGTATGTGTCATCAGGCTTTAAAATCTTGAGAAAAAAAAATCATATTGCAGAGAAACTTTTTTTTTTATTTTTTGGTTTTTCAAGACAGGGTTTCTCTGTAGCATTGAAGTCTGTCCTGGACCTCACTCATAGACGAGGCTGGCCTTGAACACACAGAGATTTGTCTGTCTTGTCTCTGCCTCCTGAGTGCTCGATTAAAGGGTGTGCCACCAGTGTCTGGCCAGAGCAACTCTTTAAGTGCAATCAGTGTGGTAAAGTTTTCCTCCTCTTGGTAGTCTTTATACAAGAGTAAAACTTTTAGTGTTTGATACATCTATTAAAGCCTTTGCATATCACAGTACAATTTGAGGTACTGAGAAGATTTATACTGAAGGGACTGTGACTATAAATGTTTTGGAAATATCTTCAGCCAGCACACATTTACTTACATAAGACTGGGAAGGAAAAAACTCTACAAGTGTCAAATCTGCTCAAGCATCATAAGGTTTCTCTTTTATTTGCACCTACAAAATCATATGGACAGAAGTCCTGTGAATTCAATGATAAGGTAACTTTTTGATTTCACACTTTTCTTCAATTACATAAACAGTTATCCAAATGAAAATTTTGTACATGTGTATGAGTGCCTCTTCTTTGTCTGTGTTATTGCATAATGTCTAAGTCAGTTTATGAAAGGGTTTAATGTAACCCTGGTTTACAGATGGTTACAGGATTACCTTGAAAGTCTCATGGCAAAAAATGTCAAACACGGCAGCTACTTTAGGAAGCCAAGAACTCACATCCTCAGCCTGCGGCATAAACCAGGAGTAGGAACTTGAAATGATGTGTGGATGTTCAGTCTCAGGCCCAACCCCTGTGACATATTTCTCCCAGGAAGACTGTATTTCCCAAATCGTCCCAAATGATGCCACCAATTGAGAAGAATTAATTTCTATAACTTAAGTCTACATGCTTGCTTTCTCTTCCATGAGCCCATTCTTGATGCAGAAAAACTCTGTAAGTAAGCCTTTAAATGCCTCAACACCTGGGTTACAGCAATGAATACCTATAGGAGAAAAACATTCATGACTGAAAATTTGTTTGGAAAAGTTTTGATTTCATTTGAATTATGGATGTCCATATGTCTTTGTGTGGTATGCGAATGTTCATGCTTCTTAGCAAATAGGATAGACCCTGTGTATTCCTCTAGCAGGAACTGCAAGAAGTTCTCAAAAACCTGACCCCCCCTTTTTTTGCAAATGAACTTGACATACTGCTTGTCCATGTTTTGAGTCCTGTAAATATTTTAAAAACCTATTTTATCATCTTGATATTAGGTAGCAGGGAAGAACTCCTGCAAGAGAAAAAAATCTTCTTCTTGTAAATGATTTGGTAAAGTCCTTAGATATCACAGTTGGCTGTTGTTTCAAGAAATATTTATCTCATGTTTTTCATTATGAAGAAAGTTAATTATTTTCTTTCTTTTTTTTTTTTTTTTTTGATTTTTCGAGACAGGGTTTCTCCGTAGCTTTTGGTTCCTGTCCTGGAACTAGCTCTTGTAGACCAGGCTGGCCTCGAACTCACAGAGATCCGCCTGCCTCTGCCTCCCGAGTGCTGGGATTAAAGGCGTGCGCCACCACCGCCCGGCAAGTTAATTATTTTCTATCTTCACTCAAGACTGATGGTGGAGATCACTGCATTGTGGTTTTCACTTTGCAGTATTTGAAGTAGATATTTAAGTGTTCTATACATTTAACAAATCCATTGAGTTAAGTTTATTTTGTGGTCTTCGTATTCCTTCTGTGACTTTTGTATATCTCCTACGGTGTTTTCATTTAGTGATAGGTATTTTTCTGCTGAAATGTTAAGAATCAGATGCCCATCATCTAAGTGTTACATTGCTTGTTAAAGTATCAGGCAGTGTGTGATCATGCTTTTCAAGTAAGGCTGTCTGAATGGGTACAGGATTGTTCCTGGTTTTGTTTTTCATATCTTTACAAATTCCCTTGAGATGTTTGTTACCCAGCCTAGCTTGTATGTCAGTAATTAGTTAAGGATATATTTGAACTGAGAAACCTCAAGTCTTAGTCTCTTGAGTGTAAATCTAATGGTACATGATGTACTCAAACATTTGCTGTTTTGTCAACATATTTTAACAAAGTTAATGTTAACATGCTTAATAGAGAATATAAAAAACTTAAATACCTCAAATGTGGATTCAAACCAACCTCTACATCGGACTGGTAGAGATGTAATAATGTCGGGTGATCAGTCATCAATTGCATATTTCACAGTACAGCTTGAAGTCCTAATGGAATTGCTTTCTTCTGAGGGAATTATCTATAGATGCCAGATAATATAATATCAATAAGATGTATTTGAAAAAAAAAGCTTCTATTACATGTATGTGTAATATGATTATAGAATTTTAGGCCTGACAGATATGTGGAGACCATAAGACAACATTGTGTGGTTGATTTTTGTCTCACTTCATATGGTGATCAAGATTAGGTTACCAGCTTTGTACACCATACACATTTCCCATTGGGCCATCACCCTGATAAGTTGAAACATTAAATCAGTAAAATATTGCCTTCTTTTCAGATTGTAAACATGTTTTCTTTGCAGGATAGAAGAAAACAGAATTTGAATAATAAAATCTAACAATTCAAAGTGATAAACGAGTATCTCTTTTATATTCTTTTGTGTGGAATGTGTTATTTTGTGGGCTAAACACTTGTTCATAATCATTTCTCAGAACCCCAAATTAATGCTGTAGTATTGTCTCAGGGGATAAAGTTTGTGGCTGCTAACCCTGATGACTTGAGTTTCTCAGTGTATATACCAAGTGGATGCCAGGTATCAGTGCAGCCACAAGAGGGCATTTGTAAGTGGAATTAAAGAGAGTAGTAAGCTGTCTGGTGGTTGTGGGATTCAAAGTCCGGCCCTGTGGATGAGCAGCTGAAAGACCCGAATAAATTCAGACCCCTCTAGCAGAAAGAGTAGAGCCAAAAAAACATAGCAGGGAGAGAAGAACCAAAAATCTTGGTTAGCCAGTTCAGTGACTCTGTTCCAGGAAGTAGCTGACCATAAAAGTTAGATTATAATCTTGAGAAACAGGGAGTTACCCCTTGTGATCATCACTAGTATTTTCAGAACTTTTTAATGATGCCTTTCCACCCCCTTTGGGTTACTTCCCTTAAGTACCCCTTCTCCCAGCTACTCGGGGTCGAACTCTACCCCTGCGTGGGAAATGAGTTTTGGTCCCAGTGCACTTGTTCTTGTCCTGTCAATAAACCTCATGTGATTGTAGCAAGGATGGGCTCTCGTGAGTTCCTGGGGGGAGGGGGGGTCGTGTTATCCTAAGACTTGAGTGAGAGTCTCCCCACTCTGGGGGTCTTTCACATCCAGTGTTCTCATCTGCTGAGCCATCTATTCAGCCAAGTGAACATGTCATTGTAGCAGTGAGGTGTGAATGGATGATCCTGAGTTCATCTCTACCTCACCACTTGTAAGCCCCCCCCCCCCAATAAATACAAGATGGAAAATAGCATCATAAACTAACTTAGACATGGTACAGAAAGATGTCTCTGAGCCCAAATCTCCACAAAGCAAGGGAAGAGTATGAAATTCTCGAGGAGAGAAACTGACAATACAAGTCTTTAAAAAGTGACTGATACTTGATAAAACCACAAGACTGAGTTTTGCCCCAAAGTAGTAAATAGTCAGCCATGGGAGAGCACAAGGACCCCTGCTGGAGTTTACACCTCCTGTAAGGAGAGAAAGGGAACTTGCAAGCATGAAGATTGACTTTTCTGAATGTGGTCATAGACTGCTTCCTTGATGACTCTAAAACTCTCAGTTAGCACATTTGAACAGTGGTGACTCCCAATGAGATGCAGATTTTTTAAAGAAATTCTGGGACTTAAAGTGAAATCCCTCTAAGACTTGGACAACCAGGCATTTACAGAGAGCTGTGGAGCATTGTTAGTGGGGCTGCTTTGCACATGGAAATCAGATCAAATGGCCAGAGGGCAATCAATGCTTGTGGTGTACCTGAGGACAAGTTCGCTCTACTGTTCTCTTTGAATCCTCTCAGCTGTGGTGGTTCACCCCTTTCAGATCGTCTACTTTTTTTTTGACAACTATATTTAGCTATCATTGACAGTTTCCTACAGACTGATACTTTCAGGTCCCCACTTGGAAGATAAAGTTCCAAAGACCTGATCATTTCAGTCCCTATAATGTGCCTGCCTCCAAGGACTAAGAAAATTCTGAAGAGACAAATCTCTCCCTATGGCCAACAACTAGTAAAACTGTGGACCCCTTGAAACTCAAATTTGCCTAGCCTCATTCTGGGAAAAGACCAAGTCATCACAGTGAAAATTTCCCGACTGAAGAAATATTTACTCTTTATCTGACCTCATTGCGGGGGAGACAGGAGGAGAGAATGCGGGAGAGATTGCAGATGGGAATAATCATTGTATGGCTTCATTAAATTACTTAGATTTGCATCTATTTTACTTTCTATCTAAACCTGTAACCTAGGGTACCCTTGTTACCTTACCTTTTTATCACTGTTTCAAATTAGTCAAACTAAATAAAAATCATGCTTTTAATTGTAATTAATAGTTTGCTTTTGTCTTTTCTACTCTTTTTAGTTTCCAAAAACTTCTTACTTGAATTTTTTTTCATTTGACATACCAACACAGTTCGTTTTTTCTCTCCTCATCCTGCTTCCACCCTTCTTCCCTCCAACTCACCTCACATCCACTGCTCCTAAAGGGTGAAGCCTCCTTTGGAGATGCAACAAAGCCTGGCACTTTAACAAGCCCCTCTCCCTATGTCAAGGCTGAGTAAGGCATCCCACCATAGGGAATGGTTTCCATGGAGCCAGTTGATACACCTGGGATACATCCTGGTCCCACTGCCAGGGACCCCTCAAACAGACCAGTGCACACATCTGTTGGCACATGCAGAGGGTCTAGTTTAGTCCCATTCAGGCTCCCCAGCTGTTGGTCTGGAGTCCACGAGTTCCCATTAACTTAGATCAGCTGTCTCCATGAATTTGCCCATCATG